TTTTGTAACCATTCTTGGGTGACGCGTGCTGAGTGCGATGGTGCTAAATCCTGTTGGAATGTCCAAGGTCTGCGGTCAAAGTGTTTGCGTGCCGAAGGCTTTAATACACCCTCCAGAATATTTTCGTGATAATATTCGGCATTTATTCTAATGCCACGGTCGATTAATACGAGTGACCGCTGTTATGGCGGCCCACACCATCACCATGGCCGGCGCTTGAGTTCTGGTGGTCAACCGAAGGTGCACATTTTCAGCTGACCTCTTTGGCAAGTAAACACGATAATTTTGTTTGTTTACAAACTGCTGGACAACGAATGTTTTCTCATCGGAGAAAACCAAATTCGGTAGTTCACCACTTTCGGCCAAGATCATTTCAGTCTATTTTCTTTCTGTTGCTGTGTAAGTTTTTGCAATTTTTATACCCTCCACCATAGAATGGAGCATATACTAAGGTTGTCATACCTCGAAATATACATTTTAGACCCCAAAAAGTATATATATTCTTGATCAGCATAAAATTTTATGTCGGTTGAGCGATGTCCGTCCGTCTATCCGTCTGTGGAAATCACTCTAGCTTCCGGACGAATTGAAGTAGGTTAATAAAATTTTACTCAAATGTATATTTTGTCTGCAGGACTTTTGGTATTGAAAATGGGTCATGTAGGTCCACGTTTTGGTATAGCCCCCATGTAACGGTACCTCCCGATATTCTGTATTTTGCTGGTTTTTACGACAATATTCATCGGAATTGTTTTAAATTTGGTATTTGAAGTTCGTAATGGATACTACAGCCTATGACAGAAAAATGTCTGTGCAGGTACAGGTCTTCGTATAGGCCCCATATATCATATTCGGTAGGTACAATACCCACCGAAATTTTTTGAGATGTCGTATTTGACGTTCATAATGGATGCTATATATCCTGTGACAGAAAATTGTCTATGCTGGTCCAGGTCTTCGCACAGCTCAGATATAGCGGTACCGCCCTATATACGATATTTTGATGATTTTAGCTACATTATTCACCGTTTATTTCAGGTTTCGAATTTCAATATGGTAATGGATTATGACAAACAAGGCCTATGTAGGTCCATGTTGTATAGACCCAATATAACGGCTATATCCGATATTTTTAAAATTTTAACAGAGTTTTTTAAGGACTTTATTTTTTGAAAATTTCCAAATTCGTTCCAAATGGTGGAATGTATTCAAAGTTCGGCCCGGCCGAACTTACTGCTTTTTAAGTTGTTTTAAATCCAAATTTTTACTATCCGAGATCCCAAATATTATCGGGCTGAAAACCATATGCATGGTGATTTCAGGGGGTTCTTTTCAAGTGTGGTTACAATCCCATAGGAACAAAAAACAACCAAAATACCGATATGCTTTTATGATAGTATACCTACCAATAGCTCTAAATGAGAAATTACAGAACATATTTGGTTCGTCCATATTCTCATGGCTTCAAAGGCTATATAATGATAAATCTTGAAAGGTAACTCCAAAATAATCTCTCATCGTAATATTTTTGTCTAACTCAGTGGACCTCAGAGGCTGTACCCACCCATTACGAACATCAAATACGAAATTTGAAACAATTACGGCCTATAATGTCACAGGCTTTAGTACCCATTACAAACTTTGAATACGAAATATCCATTGATGGTATAAAAATAGTGGTGCGCCTAAAAGTATGCTACAAAAATGTGTTAAAGTCACATTACATATGACTCTAACATAACATGTAATCGGGACTTTAACTCTTGCCAATGCACAGTGGTCGAGGTCGTATGGGAACAGCGGCCAAAAATACTTTCAGTGCAGATATCAATATGAATCTTTGGTTATGGTACCTTGATGGGATAAATATAAAAAATGTGACAAAATGGATATGGTCGATGCATGTTTTGACATGGTCCCCATATAACGTACCTCCCGAATAAGGGTTATTTGCCCAATTCTTGTCACATTTCTATACCAGATTGTAATGTTATTTGACATTTTACGTTCTAAGGAGCTAAAAAATAATCTTACTGAAAATTATTTGGAACAGCCCGTCATCAGGTAGAGTCCCTTGTAAGGTACCTCCAAAAATAGAGGCATTTTTTATACAAATCAAGTCCAAATTTGATTATTTTTGGTAAACAAAATAAAATAACAATTTAATGTAAAATTAAATCAAAGATAAATTTTGCACAAATAATTAGTTTGGCTTAAGGCCCTATTGAAATTGGATATAACCGGTCAAAATTTAGGTATAGCTCCCATATATATTCATCCAATTTGCCTTATATTGTGCACCAAACTTGTAATATCAGCCCAAATAATATGGAATATACGTACGACCAGATGGGACCTGAAAATAAGTATGCCAAATTTGATCGAAATCGGTTCAGATATAGCTATAGCTCCCATATATATTGTTCATCCGATTTGTAATTTTTTGTCCTCCGCAGCCGTAATATGCACTCTGTGACAACGATATTTGGGGAAATATATCAAATATAGCTCTCATATATATCTATCCGATTTCATGTTAATTGTGCACCAATTGGATAATACAAGCTCGAATTGAAAAGGCGCAAATGCCTCGACAAATTTAATATAAATCGATTCAGAGGAGGATATTCCTCCCATATATTAGTTCCTTTGGATTTTTAATTATTACTATAATCATTGTTGGTATGATTTAATTCTCACAAATTCCCCATTAAAACCTTTATTTGTTATGTGACGCTCTACTAAATATGCAAAGTGGTGTAGGGTATCATGAAGTCGGCCCCGCTCGACTTTAAGACTTTATTTACTGGTTATTGTTTGGTAAGGCTCGCTGTCCCATTATAAAAGGGTCAGAACTCAGAAGAAGACGGTTAATAAGATCTGTGTTTTTTGAAACACGAGAATTTTTTCGGGCATGATTTAGTCGAAACTTGGAAGATAGTGCCATGGATATAAATTTGTTAACTTTTTCGACATAAATATTATACCCAGAGGACAATGCTTGCAACATTATTGAACACCCCTCAATTACATACTTATCAATCCCTAACAACAAAAACATATTCTATGTCACTAGCACCATAGAACTGACAAAATTGCAGCGAAGTCACTTCAGTATATTGGGCATAACATACAAATCTGACAAAATCTGAAAGTTAAATTAGCACTTTTAAAATCTTAGGACCATTACTAATGGCGTGAAAAAAATCACAATGGAGGATTCAGGGGGGAAAACAATTAAAACTTTAACTGAAATCCAATTTTATTTTCAAAATTAATCTTAAAGGCAACTCAGAACACTCACATCTTTTATATTATACACATATACTAAACACACAAATTACTGCACTAAAAATAAGTTAATACCTTGCTTTTCAATAATTATGCCAAGATTTGTAATTTTAAAATGTATTTAATTTTGTAATACAGTTCTATTTTTACTCCACTTTTTCTCTGATCCCACTGAAAAAAACAACTAACTATATTTTCTCTTTTTTGATGCTATTTTCGAAGTGTCCCGTTAGAATGAAGCCAAGATTATTATGTTTTCAAAAAAGCTTAACCCCTTAAGAGTTCATTTGTACACATTTGACAATAAATATCTGGTTTTCATTTTTTGAATTTTGGCCAATGGCAGCGACCACTGTGCAATGCAAGCATTACGCCCAAATGTATGCACTTCAATGAATTTTACACAAACAATTTCATTTTTACCCAATGTTAATAGATGGTGCACCTTGTAGGTTATAGTACAATATATTTTGCACGTTTCGTACTCATCTTGTACTAATTTCGTTTCAATGCCAACATTCTAGCTTCAATCTCATCTTAGCCTTTTTAACTAGAAGCATCCAGCACATAACGACATATTTCCTACATGTGGCCATCGTATTGGCAGTCAAAGTGTCTGGAATAGAATTGTTTCACTCTAACAAGCCACGCAAAAATCCAATTCTCCCTGGTTTTATTTTTGCGACTTTGAAATTCTTATTTTGCTTCAAACATTTCTAAAATTCCCCCTGGAATTGCCATCTGTTTTCTATTTTTGTGGTGTGTGCATCTGTGCAACATGTTGAGTATTTGCAGCTGCCTGCCTCCTGGAGTCTCGAATTTTTCGCCAAAACACACAAACAAAAACGAACGGCAACAAACAGTCCTTTTTGCATCGCACATCTAATGGTGATGCTACTACTTGGAGTTGGTTGGGTTTTGCCTGGCTGGCTGGCTGGCTAGTTGGCATCATATGGAACCGTAATAAACACACGTTGTATTTGACGCCACAACACTTAATGAACTCGCTGCAAATGTGTGTGTGAGAGAGAGAACTGGAAAACGCTGAGAGCAAAAGTATCTGTGAGAGAGGTACTCATGTGTGTGTGTTTTGAGTTAATTGTGTGTGCATGTCGAAATGCAAAGTAATGGCTTGAGATCCCACCGGTCCTATGTTCGTTTCGCTGGTATTGGGGTTTGTTAGGGGAGTTTGGCTTGAACTCGCTCTCTTGCATGACTGAGAGAGTCTCAATCTAATGTTGGGGGGAATTCTTAACAGAGAATGTGGGGTTTTTAAGCACGGATTCATTTTATTTGTAGTTTGTTTAAATTCAGTGAGTTTTTTTCGGTTGTTGTTGAAATCTCTGAGTATGGACAAATGTTTTGCTTGTTTGGGAATATGTATTTTTGACTGTCCGTCCGTCCATCTGTTTGCTCATGTATTTCGAATTGTCTGTAATTACATACAACAAATTCAGTTACTTTTATGGCTATTTGTTGCTTTTGTTCTTGTTGTTGTAATTGATGTTATTGCAATGTTGTTATTGTTGATTGTCTGCTGGAAGAGCGTACGTGTCGTGTCGTGAGTATGTGTGTCTGTATTGGTGTTGTGTACTCTTACTGCCGCTTGAGTTGTATGCCTGTACTGCTGCTGTTGTTTCTGTTGTTGTCTTGTGTTAGCTCTTCGTTGTGTTTATTATTGCCAGTTCACCCAGCCAGCCAGTAGTGTTGTTGTTGTTCTCCGTGTTGTGTGTGTTATTGTTCGAAATGTGTTTTCGAGCTTCTTGAACATCAGCCACTGTTCGAGCATGTTAGTGTAGTATTTGTGTGTTCACAGTACTCAGCTTAAAGTATCTGACGACGCGCGTAAAAAATCTTGTTTTCTGTTTTCTACTACCACACTACGTTTACAAAAATTTTTCTATTTCAATGCTGTGTTGAATGGAAAAAATTCTCGATAGAAAATTTATTGAAGAAAAAAAAAAAAACAAAATTTATACGAATTTATTAAATACGTTTTAGTATTTGCAACGAAATTGAAATAGTTTTTTTTTTTTGAGATTTTAAAGAAAAAGCATACGAAACAATTTCGTAAAATTATCATAACAACAGAAAGAGTGTACATTAGTAACGAAAACTAAAGACCAGTCGTAAGACGGACGACTCCCGCATAACCGGGCATCATAACCAATTTGCATTTAAGCGGCAATTTGTGATAACATTCCATAAAACGCAACGGAACCCAACGAATCGAATATCTCACCCACCCACCAACTAAGAACGGAGGAAATTTTCAGTAGCAGAAACTCATAACAAATGATTTTGTAAGTAAATTCCAACCAACATATTTTGATTTAAAATAGTTTGTAAGGGTTTTAAAGATTTTGGTTTTAAGCCCATTTTTTGGGAATGTGAAAATAACAGTAAAAATTATTTATTTATTTGGCATAAAAAGTGAATATTATAAAATTCTGTGTTCTTTTGATTTTCTTCAACATTTACTCGTTACGAAAAAAATTCTATCTGAAGTGGAAATTATACAATTTTTCTTGATTTATAATTCTTGATTTGTTTCGACAATGATAGTCCGTACAGAGCCGGAATCTAAAACTAATTTGAGAGTCGTTCACTGCAAATTTTCAGAATGTTTGAATGGATTTTTTATGGTCAGATTTTTAAACAGAAATGTGCAAACCTTATATAAACCTTTGTAAATTATAGAGATATTCGGATATTGGAGAAAATATTCGGCTATAACAAACATTTTTGTAAAGCTAAACTAATTTTAGATTTTCATATACTTAAATGGATTTTTTATGGTCAGAGCTTTAAACTGAAATGTGCAAACTTTATACAACCCTTTTTAAATTGTATAGAGATTTCGATATAGGTGACAACATTCGCCTATAACAAAAGTTTTGTAAAGCATGTCAATTTTCGGATAACAGATGTCGTGAAAATGGTTTAGCGATAAGCTAGAGCATCGACCATTGCTCTGCTTCTAAACCATTACCTAAAATATCTTTCACGCCACTTATGCTCTGAAATTTCAAATTGCCGGGGTAAAATTCTTAATTACAGAACTCCTATTTAAATATTCTGAATAAGCTATTCCAATCAATTTCAACTATTTGGTCATATTGTATTGGAAAGATGGCGCCCAACTACGAATTCGGGTTTATACCAACATCCATCATAGATGTATTGTCAAATTCCGGATTAAAATTGAACTGTTCTTATATCAATCAGTTCTCTTTTATTTAGCTTTTTTGGAGTTGGCGCCCAAGCAGAATATTCTTTGTTTACGTACTCTATGTGAACTTTTCTAATAAAATTGGAATGGGTATGTTTGTGTGATATCTTCAGAATGTAATATCAACAAGGTTGCATTAGAATATTAATTGAATAATAATTGTTAACCGACTCCCATGTCATACGGAATGCCATACCTAAAAGAATTTTGTCTATATTCGTATGACTTCAGCAAGTTTTTTTTCACACTATAGTTGTGGAAATGGCGCCCCAATTAGCATGCAGTATATTTTTCGATCCCAACTAGGCATTTTATGTTAAACTACTCCCATGGATGATAATTTTCCACACCCTGACTAAATAAGATATATTCTGAAAATGATGCCAAGGTGGCGCCCAAGTAATGTTTACTGTAATGATTGATAGATTATCACATCCAAAACAATTTGGTCCATATTCGTATGACATCAGCAAGATTTCTCCACACTAGAGTTGTAGAGATGGCGCCCAAATAAGCATACAGTGTATTTTTTGATCCCAACTAGGCTTATGCAAGGCGACTCCCATGAATGATAATTTGTATATATCCCGGCTAAATATTAAACTATTAGAGTCAATTTTGTCTATATTCTTATGACATCAGAAAGTTTTCTTAACTTTAGAGTTGTGGAGATGGCGCCCAAATAAGTACACAGTGTATTCTTCGATCCCAACTAGGCATTTTATGTTAAGCTACTCCCATGGATGAGAATTTGCCACAGCCTCACTAAATATGAAACATTTCGAACTAATGTTCTCTATAATCAATATTGGAGTCTTCGATTTAGTTTTGAGAAAGTGGCGCCCAAACGATCATGGAGTATTTTTTCCATACAAATTAGACTAGTAATTTTTCAACGACTTCCATATTACCACATCGCGACAAAATATGAACTCATTCGCATCAATTTTGTTTTTATTCTTTTGACAAAAAAAAATCGTTCTTAAACTTCGTTGTGGGAAGTTGGCGCCCAAATAATCAAAGGATATATTCCTTTCCAAATCCAAGTGAAATATTAATTTTTCCACTACTATCGGGTTGGCAAAGTCAAAGTTTGACAATATTCTTACGATGTCAGCTAGGTTCATTTAGTTGAATGTCATGAAGTGAACTTTATTTTTAGATCCAACTAAACTAGAAATTATACATTATCATATCTCGGCTACATACGAAACTATGTATGTGAATTTTTTATATACTCGTATAGCTTTAACAATTGTTGGAGAGTTGGTGCCCATATAATCACAGACTATATTGGGATTGAAACCAACTAGAATGATAATTTTTCACAGATCCGAGTATGATAATATGCCGCATTAATTATTATTTGTCAAATCATGTCAGTGCTGACTATAACCTTAAGATAGATTTAGATTTATTCTATTTATTGTGAAGGAATTGGCGCCCAAATGATCATTGAATAGATTTTACTGATTTCGACTAGGACATTCATTTTCGTCGACTCCCGCCAATGATAGACTGTCATACCTCGATTAAATGAAACTATATAATGAAATAGTCAAATCAATTTAGTCACACAATATCAACAAGATTTACTCAATTTCGATATATGGGAGAGTTGGAGCCCAATTTATCACGGAGTATATTTTTTCAATCCCAACTAGAATAATAATTATTCACCGACCCATCATCTCAGCTATAAATGACTCTATTCGAATCAATCAATTTTGATTATATTCTTACGCCTATAGGATTTATTCGATTGAAAGTGAGAGATTGGCGCCCACATAACCATAGAGTTAAAAATGCTATCTTTTCATTGTCTCCCAACAATTATGGATTGTTATATTCCAAATTAATATGTTTATGCTAGGCTTTAGAATTATAGTTTAAGTGTTACAATATAAAAATATAATATGTTCTATAAAGAACCTAGCTTTAAAATTAAAGGTTTAATTTTGTTAATAAGAACAGGAAATAGCGCAATCAGAAAAACTTGTCACTCTCGGTTCACGACATCTAATTTCCCAGTGCTGTATAGCTCACAAATAATCCTGTTTAATTGAACGATTCACTAAATGGAGTGAAGGGAACTGGTTCAGAAAAATTTGCTTACGGAACAAATAAGCTCATTTAGACAAGGAGATCCGGAAAAAGTGATATTTGAAATTAATTGAAATGTCTTCATCAAATCTGCAAATGTAGACAGATTCAAGTATCAGGAGAATTTTTTTACTCCCTGTTTACGATTTCAAATGTCCAATAAATGTGTAGTTCACAAACTACCGTGTTCAATCGAACAATTGACGGAGTGAGCAAGGGAACTAGTTCGAAAAAAAACATTCTTCAACATCATAAAAAGGGACAAATTAGTTATTAAAACTTCGAAAACTTAAACAAAAATCTTACAAAATCATTAAAATCGGAAAGAGTTCGGAATGCGGTTTCTAAAACAAAATCAAGCTAAAGGACTTAAAGTCCAACTTGATGGATTTTTTTAGAAGTTGATGTATGCAAGTCATAATCGTTATTTCATGCTAGTGTTGGAGAGCAGAAAATAGATTCTAGATACTTGGGTCTTTCGACTCTGGTTCAAATCTGGTACGACTATGACTCCTAAGCTCTGGTCGTATATCACCGATCGATGCTGAGTTCACACCTTGTATTACGGCTTCCCCTCTCTTGATATTGACCAGGAAAGAATCGAATTGCTGAATTACTGTGAAATGTATTATTCTTCTCATTATCAAAAAATTGCATTGAAATTTATTTTTCACTTCATAAAACGCAGAATCCACTTTTTTCCATTCCACTCATCATAAATTTCAATGCAATTTTTTGTCTTGCCATTCATAAACTGTTACTGTGACTGACTGACAGACTGACTGCTGCTGCATAGCATGTCACAAATAACTCTTTCCGTTTTGCATTTAATTGTCATCCGCAAGATCACATTGGAATTCATTAGATATTAGTCACTGTAAAAAACAGCAACAACAACAAAGACAACAGTAACAAAAAAATACTTCTCACATTCATTTAAAATTATACTCTGAAAAAAAAGATAACTTTGAATGGCGGATAGTTATGAAAATGGTTGCATTTACCGGAAAAAACAAAGTTTTTGTTTTACTGATTAGGAATGCAACTGCAGCGGTTACCTTACATTCGTGCAACAGTTTTTTTTTTTTTTTTTTTTTTTGTTTGGGTGGCAGATAAGCAAGCCATTTGAAGGTCATAACATTAACTTCAATTATTGTGTTTCGTTTTTTTTGTTAAATAAATAAGTATCATCTGTTCGTTGGGTTTCTTGATGGCTATCTCATTTTTTCACGAAACACAGTTGTAAAATTAATGTTAGTTGAGTTTTTCGTATGGAAAGAGGGCTCCGAATTGTAGATCCGAAATTGATTTTTCAAATTAATTTTTAAATGAAATATTTCTCAACCTCATTTATTCTACAACCCCGTCTTAAGGAATAAAGCAAGAAAATACTATTTTCAATATCGATTACTTTTTACACCTAAACACAATTGAGACATAGATGGCGTTCGTTTCTGGAACGAGATAAGAGCGGAAATTTGTTTGAAATTTGGTTTTACATTCATTTCACAGACAATTTCTCTCAATAATCACATTCTGAACAAAAGCTCGAAAGTACTGTTTTACAAAGATAATTCCTTTTCTCTTCAATTTTGAAAAAAAAAATGAAATATAGATGGCGCGCGTTGGTATAACATTGATCTCACAAACGAATTCTCCGAATAATATTGTTCTGAGTACTTCCTTTGCTGTTTAAGTCCTAAACAAACTATATAATACCCTTTTTTAATTTCCCCTTAATTGTCTTTGAAAAATTGTATTAATTTTCTTTCTATACATGACTTCCGGAACACTTGTTGTATGTATACAGGTTGAGATAAAAAAAACTGCAACAAAGTTAAAAGCCATAATTTTTACATTTTTGTTTTTTTTTTTTAATTTTATTGATAGAAAGCAAAAAATGTCGGAAATAGCATCAAATGTTAAAATAAGTTTAGATTTGTTCGAATTGCTCACCTTTGGCACGAA